AGAAAATATTTCTCAAGTGGTAGTGAATTAAGCTCTCCAAAAGGTTTTTCACATTCTACTCAAAGGCTTAAATCACTAACACCTTGGACAAAGCAAGAAGCTTTAAAAAAAGAAAAAGAAAAACTTGAAAAAAAAGCACAAATTGCAATTTTAGAGGAAGAAATTCACATTATTAAACAAAAGAGAGAAAAACTTTTAGCAAAAGAAAAATTGAGAAAAACAAGAGAAAAAGAAAGAAAAAAGGCATTGCTCTTAGGGAAGAGTAAGGAGGAAAATAATTCCTCTAAAGGACTTGTGAGTGAAGAGAGTTGTTCTACCACTAAAAATCATTTACAAAATACTCTCTTCATAAATAAAGACCTTAACTCTTACCCTAATCTTACCACTAGTCATGAAGTAGAGATTCAAGAACAAATCATTCTAAAGAAAAATGAATCTCAACTTCAAGATGTAGTGAAGAAGGAGTGGACTACATTTAGTTCCACTTCTTGTGCTACTTCCTTGGAGGTGCCCAAGGAAGAAAGCTTTCCCTTCTTTAGTACTCCTTTTACCATAGTTGTTCTAATAAAGCACCCAAATTTTGGAATATATTGTTTGATAGATACATCTTGTCATATTTCATATTCTATTTTTGATCTTATGGGAAGTTCATCTTTATTTGAACTTAATTTGCACCCTTCCCTACAAGATAAAAATAGTTTATATAAGTTTTCAAGATTTGCCAAGATATTTTATCTACCAAACAATATGATTCAATATTGTTTAGGACGTTTTCTAGTATTTGTTTCTTTATATTTTAGGAAAATCCTAGTCTACCATTTAGGGTACTTTAGGCAAGATGTTATAATTTTTAAGAAGCATTTTTTTTGTCTTAGTCATAGTGTTTTTACATTTTTAGGTTTTACTTCTAGGTTGTGCTTAGAAGAGGAGCCTATTTCTATTTTGAGGGAGTCTAATTTTGATAGTTTATTTTTCTTTCTTAGGCTAGATAGAAGGGCTCCTCTTAGGTTTAATGAAAATGTCATTTCTTATCCCTTGTATGATTTACATATAGGTAATGAATTTTCTTCCATTCATCCTCGAGATTTGAGGACAAATCCTTTTCAAGAGGGAGGGGATGATGGAATCATGCTTTGGAGAGCAAGAGGTGACATACTCAAAGATCCAAGAGGAGTGGGCTAGATATGGAAGATTGGGCCTATCAAGGCCCAATGGGCCCTATGGGCTTGGAAGGCCCAAACCAAGTTTTCAACATGGGCCTATCTTGTTATGAACATTCTTGTCTTGTTTTGCTAATATAGTTTGAATATATTTTGGTCTTGTATTTTGGACCACATAGAGTAGTATTTTAGGTTTTAGGCTTGTTGGGCCTAGTTTTGGGCTTCATTGGCCTTTGGGCTTTTGGTACCCAATATTGGGCTCATTTTCATTCTTATAATTTTTCCTTTCCATTGTATTTGTTGGACCATTGTAATTGGGTCATTAGAGTAGGATTTAAGGAGGATTATTAGTTTAAGAGGATTAGGCAAAATTAGGTTTAATTTAGCATGCATTTAAGTTGCATTTTGAGTCACATGGATCATGCCACCTTGGCTGAACATGTGTGACTTAAATTCAACCCTAAATGCACACTAAATCAAAGCCAAATGCACCAAGCACCCATGGGACCGGTCATACACATGTGTGACAAGTTTTGAATTCAAATTCAAATTTGAATTCAAAACTTGGCGCCAACATGGTGGCCACTCATGTGGCGCCAAGTGTCCACCTAATTTTCAGAAGCTATATGTTCCCTCCTTCACCTTATTGTACTCACTTTGAATATTGAATGAAATTTGAGAGCCATTAGTGTCGAGTTTCTCTTCAAAGTCACAAAGAATTTGTTTCAAAACCTTAGGAAATTTCACCTTCTTCCTTCTCTTTGAAGTGAGTTCTCCATTGATCCTAGAGCTTGCCTGCTTCCATCCAAGGCTTGAGCCTTCATCCATCCGTGTTCTTTCATCTTTCAAGTCCCATTTCATTCGGTATTATCTCCTTAAAGAAGATCCGTGGCAAGGAGGAGCTAAGGAGAAGAACATTCATCACTTCTCCCTACCTCTTCCATCATTACCTTTTACTAATGACTAAGTGATGTATATGAGAATGTACCTGTGATATATGATGTGATATATGAAGTGAGATCATGGAGATGTAATGCATTAAGTCATGTTTGACATGCATCATTTGCATAAAATATGTTTTGGGGGGCATAATATGGAATACACCACCAAGGAAGGTCCCTTGTATAAAAGCTTGGGAATCAACCTTGGGGATAACTCGATTTGGAAAGTCTAAATTATGCCCTCGTGCGCATAGGATGTATCTTATGCAACTTAGCTATCTTGACTAGATCCTGGTAGTATGTCCTCCTAGTGAGAGTGCATAGAGAGTGTGACTCAACATGTACTCTTAGGCTACTTTATGTATATTGCTAGTAGCAATGCACACGTGTGATGTTTTTACTAAAGCCACATGTATGATAATATATTATTCATGTACATTGCATAATGCATTATAATTTATCTGTTATTATTTATTATGCTATGAATGAAACAAGTGTGATAATAATATTTATTTGTGTATGTTATATTTAGTTGTATGTCTTATTTGTGTTTGACTAATCGGTTTTCATTTTTGCACTATAAGCTAGAGTGAGATATTTCTCACTCTTTTTACTTTGTATTATTTTCCTTGTTTATTATGCAATTGATCATTTTTGGTCCCAGGTAAAACATGAATCTAGAAGAGGAGTTGAATAAATTCTCGCTTAAAAGGCTCCTATTTATCTATCTTGCTTTCTTACATATGTAACTATCTTTCTTGAATCAACTTTACTAATCACATTCAGATTATAAACCAAACAAGATACAAAGTATATTAGATTTATTACTAGCGGAATAGATGTTGTAATCCAAAATGATTTTTAGTAATTACCTTTCCTTCACTTTATTACCAGATTGTATATAACATATTATATTTCACAACACAACAATCTTTAATATTCAAGAAAAGTTTTCTTTTACTTTCTTAAAATTCTTTTTATCAATTCAATAAGAAATATAACAAGATATGAAGGTAAAGAGAGAAATTGCAAAGTGATCTATATTGGTTCAACAATATCAAGGCCTACATCCAGTTTTAGACTTAGCTCCCCGCTAAATCCAGTCTTTCTACTATAATATTCTTTATAAACACCATGTACAAGAAATATTATAATCAGAAACTCAATCAATTAATCTTTGATCCCACAACAAGCACTAGAATTCTTCCATCTAAAGAATCCACTTGAGAAAGCCTACCTTAAGATTTCTCTTTCACTCTTTCTTGAGATACCCTTATCCCAAAAAAGTAACATACCATAGCATACCCAGTTATTCAAACAAGAGTTTAAAGATTACAATTGATACACCTGATGTGCAGATTGATCTTCTACAAAGAATTGTTCAGCAATCTTGATTTTCTTGAACTTCTTTCAAGATAATATATTTCTTGAATTTTCTTTACTCTTTGATTATTCTAAAAAATATTTGATCTTAACTAAAAAATGATTTTCAGATCTTGAAAATGTTTTTCTATTTTCACTCTTTAATTTCTCTAATCAAATATGTCATCTTTTTTTTATGTTTTTGAAAAGAGTTATATTTATAGAGCGAATAAGATTTCAACAATAAAAACTTGTAACAGTAGTAATCTATTACCAATATCAGATAATCTATTACCATCTTTTAATGAACCTAAAATTTGTTGAAACAAGAGGCGAGGTAATTGATTACTGATCCTAGTAATCGATTATCTCGTGTTCCAAGAACCATAGAACTCACTTTTCAGTAGAGATAATCGATTACTAAAGTTGATAATCAATTATCTCGATACTTTTTTAACATGTTTCTCTTGTTTTCACTCAAAATTCACCAAGATAATTAAGTACATGAATGGGTAATCGATTATCACAGAGAAGATTTTGAATTTCACTTCAAAACTAAGCTTCAGTAATCTATTATATCAAATGGTAATCTATTACTTGACTTAGTCATGAATTCTTTTGAATGAACCAAGTTCCATTTTATGTCAAAGCACATTGTAATTTCTTACATTATGTTTTCACATGAAATGAGAAGCATTAAGTTGAAATATAAGTTTTATGCTTTCTAAAACAAGATGTAATTTCGAAATTAATTCATCATAGTAAGCAAATACATCCAAGCCTAGGTCTAATAACAAGCAATACATTATTCTTTTCAACATAGGCCATGAAATATAAAAATGAATGAAGCAAACTAAAAAAAACTATACAAATCTAATGCTAACATCATCAAAACTAAAACATCTCCAATCTTCATAAAGATCTTCATGAGGGATTTCAGTAATTAACTTAGTAATTAACTCAGCAATCTCAACAATCATCAGCATGAGTTACTTCTTCATGAGTTATTGCCCCACTATTTAAAATTTTTGGATCCGTCACTGCTTTTACTGTATCTTTCTTTCAAGTTACTTCCATTCACATTCTCTATATCTTTCTTTCTCCCATTTCCCTGTTTTCACTTTTCAATTGTTTGACTGCTTAGGGACACAAATTTTTCATTTATATAATGCATGCCCCGACAAGTGTCTTTAGTCAACATGTAAATTATAATTTAATGCAAGCACAAATCATGCTTTCCACCGTCTATATTTTCTTCTGTTTACTATTTATTTGAACTCAGGAAAATAAATAAATATACAAGGAGATAAAATTAGGTGATTACACAAATAACTGAAAAGAATAATTAGGTCTCACTCTCACCTTAACTTTCTATTGTCCTTAGCTTTTGTATTTCCGCATCTTCCGAGTTGGTGCCGTCCACTTTCTCTGTCCCTTTTATGTTTATGTTTATGACAAAATTCTCTCATTTCTATATTTTTAATTTATAAAAAGGTTTATATAATGTGTTGCAATCATGTCATATTAGTATGAACAAGGCAATAGCCTCAAGACATTTCAAGACTTAATTTTTTCTCTGACACAACTCAACTGTTGGTTGCTCAAACATCTCCATAATCACTGCTTCTTCTACCATGTCTTATCCAACATCCTCTTCCTTTGCCTATCAATGGGCTTATGATGTTTTTCTGAGTTTTCGGGGAGAGGACACCCGCACTGGTTTTACTGGAAATCTTTTCCATGCTCTGTGTCAAAAGGGAGTCAACACTTTCATGGATGATCAAGAGCTTAGGAAGGGTGAAGAAATCACACCAGCTCTGTTAAAGGCAATTCAAGGATCTAGGATTGCCATTGTCATTTTTTCACAAAACTATGCATCATCAACTTTTTGTTTGCAAGAACTTGTGAATATTATGGAGTGCTTCAAACACAATGGCATGTTGGTTTGGCCTGTTTTTTATCAAGTGGAACCATCTGACGTTCGTCATCAGAAAGGAAGCTATGCAGAAGCACTCACCAAACATGAGAGTAGAATCAGTGACAAGAATAAGGTGAAAAAATGGAGGTCAGTTTTGCAAGCAGCAGCTAATCTATCCGGCTGGCATTTCAAACAAGGGTATGCAAATAAGTAACCATTCTTTTCCTATATATTTTATTATTTTTTGTAGGATATTAGAATTTTAATTTTTTGCACTTGGGCAGGTACGAACATGATTTCATCCGAGATATCATTCAAGAAGCCTTTAGAAGGATCAATCGGAGCCCTTTATATGTAGCTAATTATCCAGTTGGCTTAGAGTCTCGCATCCAAAAGGTGAAGTCACTTCTTGATCTTGAGTCAAATGATGGAGTCTACATGGTAGGGATTTATGGAATAGGTGGAATTGGAAAGACAACACTTGCTTGTGCAGTATACAATTTCATTGCTCATCAATTTGAAGCTCTATCTTTTATAGCTGACATTAGAGAAAATTCAATGAAAAAAGAGCTGGTTCACCTTCAGGAGACACTTCTTTCTGATATAGTTGGGGAGAAAGACATTAAGTTGGGGAATGTAAAGAAAGGGATTCCAATAATTAAAAGTAGGCTATGTAAAAAGAAAGTTCTTTTAATTTTGGATGATGTTGACGAATTGGTGCAATTAAAAGTACTTGCAGGTGGACTAGAATGGTTTGGTCCTGGTAGCAGAATTATTATTACCTCTAGAAATAAGCATTTGCTACGTGTTCATGGTGTTGAAAGAACCTATGAAATGGAAGGATTAAATCAAGAAGAGGCCCTTGAACTGTTCAGTTGGAATGCTTTCAAAAGAAAGCAGGTTAATCCTGGTTATCTGGACATTTCAAAGAGAGTATTGCAACATTCTAATGGCCTACCATTATCTCTGGAAATAATAGGCTCTGATTTATACGGTAAGACAGAGTTGGAATGGAAGTCAGCATTAGATACTTATGAAAGAATTCCTCATGAAGATATTCAGCGAATCCTAAGAGTAGGCTATGATGGCTTAAAGGAATTTGAAAAGAAAATATTTTGACATTGCTTGCTTCTTTAAAGGATACTATTTGAATGATGTCATAAATATTCTTCACAGTGGTCGTGGCTTTGCCCCAGACTATGCTATCCAAGTGTTGGTTGATAAATGTCTAATAATAATTGATGGACATTGTGTGAGAATGCATGATTTGATTGAGGATATGGGTAGAGAAATTGTACGACTTGAATCACCTTCAAAATCAGGTGAACGGAGTAGATTATGGTTCTCTAAAGATATTCTTCGTGTTTTCAAACAGAACAAGGTATGTGCATTTCGCTTATTTGTTTCTTTGATTCTTTCTTTTTTTCATTTTTGACAAATGCATATTGGAAGACCTAGATGTTAACCCTCTACAATTAAATTTTATATTTATGAAATTTTTTAGTTATTAAATAATAAGCTTTTATTATTTGAAAACTTCATCCTAGTTTGACTATTATGGCTTAAAGGGATCCGATAAAACTGAGATCATCATGTTACACTTGCCTAAAGTTAAAGAAGTGCAATGGGATGGAACCGCATTGGAGAAGATGGAAAACCTTAAAATATTGGTGGTAGAAAATGCTCACTTTTCTAGAGGACCTAGTGCTCTCCCAAAAAGTTTAAGAGTGCTAAAATGGAGTGCATATCCTGAATCATCTTTTCCTACTAATTTTGATCCAAAGAAACTTGTCATATTGGACCTGCCTTTGAGTTCCTTTACATTCAGGGATCAAGTGAACATGGTATTATTAGTAGCTATCTATCTTGGATTCTTGATGTTTATTTGGTCTTGGATATTATTAAGTTATAATTCTATTTGAAAATTCATAAATTAGTTACTATGCTGTTTTTTTCATTTTGCAGAACTTCAAGTCTTTGATGGAAATGAAGTTAAGTAGATGCGAATTACTAAAAAAAATACCTAACATGTCTGGAGCACCGAATCTGAAGAAACTGCTTCTTGTTAATTGCGAAAATTTAGTTGAAGTTCATGATTCCGTTGGATTTCTGGATAAACTTAAATATTTGGATCTTCATGATTGCACTAATCTTAGGATTCTTCCCCGTGGCATCAACTTAACTTCTCTTAAAACCATGTCCCTTCAGAATTGCAAAAGTCTCAAGAGTTTTCCAGAAATTTTAGGGAAGATGGAAAACGTATATTCACTCCATTTGAGTGGCAGTGGCATAAGTGGCTTGCGTTCTTCAATTGGAAATCTAGTTGGACTCAACATCTTGTGTCTCACTAAATGCAAATGGCTACTTGAACTACCAAGTAGTATTTTTATGCTGCCAAAGCTCCTCACGTTGAATGCTAACTATTGTGAGCGGCTTGCTCGAGTTCAGAATGGGGAAGGTCAAGGTCAAGTTCCAATGTCTTCAAGTGTAGTGTTTAGAATTTATACTTTGACGGATAAATTTCTTTGCGCAGTTCTTCCTTGGTTGCGCAATGTAACACATTTATGCCTTGCTAACAGCAATACCACAATCCTTCCATCATGCATCGGTGTCTGTCTCTCCTTGAAAAGTCTTGATTTACGTGGCTGCAAGAAACTTAGAGAAATCAGAGGCCTTCCACCAAACATTAAAAAACTTCAAGCTATGGATTGCACATCTTTAACTAGTGAGTCGAAGGAAATGTTACTGAATGAGGTATCTTATCTATGTTTTTGAATATTTTATCATACTTCACGTGGACGTTTAACTTACATATTATAATTAAATGTTATTGACAGAGACTACACGAGAAAGAGGGCACACATTTCAAATTTCCAGGATCAAGTATGCCAAGTTGGTTGAATTGCGGTAGCATGGGTCCATCCCTGCGTTTCTGGTTTCGTAACAAGTTCCCAGCATTAACTCTATGTGCTGCTGGTGTTTTTCAGTCAGATTATGACAATGAGAACTGGCGCCTGAAGGTCAATGGCGTGCTACTGCCCCGAAAATATGTTATCGCCTGTTGTAGAAACATAAAACACACAGTTCTGGCTGATGTTCTCCAATTATGGTATGTTGAAAAAGGATTACATATTAGGAATGGAAGGAACAGTGCTGAGATTTTATTTGATGGTTATGGAGCAAAAGATGTAGAATGGATGGGAGTACATGAAAGAGAGGAAAGTGATCAAGAAGAAAGTGGTAGTCGATATGTGCTTGCTTTATCAAATAAAAGACAAAAACTTCGCCACCCTGCCAAGAGGTAACTATAAAACTTTTCAACTTTTTTCCAAACTCCTCCTAACCTTGTGTTTCTATTTCAAAAGAAGGATACACCAAGGTATTATATGTCTCAAAAATAAAATAATAATTTACAATTAAAAATAGATCATTTTTAATACTTGTAATAATGATGAGTTGTTATAATATCAAATTATATAACTGAAGAGTTATTTGAAATTAAAGTATATTGGTAAATTTTTATAAGTTTTTCAAATTTAGGTATATTTTAAAAGTGAAATTAGCATTAAATATATATACCGGGGATCATACATTAAATATAATGATAAAGAAATTAAGCTTATATTAATTTTTTATTAAATAACTGATAATTTAAAATTTTATAAAAATAATGTTATTAGTTATTGCATTTGTAATTAGTAAAACATTAAATTATATTTATTCAGAATTTATAAGTTAAAATTAATTTTTAATTGAGATAGTTGATAATGTTACCATTTGAATTTGAATCAATAGTTACATAACCGTGATTAATTTGTAATTAAAAGACATGATAAAATTATTAATTTTAAATTAAGAGTCATGACTATTAATTATGATAATGTTATAAATATATTATTAAAATAAAATATAAAAAAAGAAAATTTTTGCAATAAAATCTAAAACTTCCAACCATCTATATGAAATTTGAATTGGTAATTAAGGTGTTACATATAAGTTTGAAAATAAGATAATTTTTTATAAGTGTGGTAATAAAAATTTTCAATTTAATAATTTTTTTAGACAATGTGGCTCATATCAGTGAGGAAAAATATTAAGTCTTATAATAATATTTGAATTATTATAATTATTTGAATGTGTAGTTATTAAGGCATAATGTATATAACATATTTGTAATATCATGCATCACATGCTAATAGAAATGACATACAAAAATTAGAAATAACCTTAAATTTTAACTTTGTAACTTTTATAAAGTTCTTGTGAATGCAATGTCCCTCTTATAAAAGATAATGTTATATTTATTTTTTTATTATCTTAAAAAACACATCGAGATAAAAAAAATGATGTTCATAATTTTTTATTTTTTTTAGCAAAATAACAATATGTCAAAAGTAGATGAAAACCAAGAGAGAAAAAAAATGTTGCGTTGATAAACTCTCAAAACCCATAAAACCTAGGAGTACAAATTGAAAGGGAAAAAATTGTAGAGATAATAAAATATCTCTTAGGAAGAGATTGTTTGAAACTTTTAATTCCACAATCTTATCAATCAGACTCTTCTAATAATGATAAGTGAATGGAGTATGTGATTCTATCATATATTTAGTATTTTTTATAAAATTATTATATATATTTAATTATAATTTTTTTCAATTTTAGTAGAAATTCAAAGAAAAATGTTAAATAGTATGGTGAATTTCTAATTAATATTTTATCTCTTTGTGTAGGAAAAGTAATAAAGTCAGATATGTATGGCCAAAACACCAACTCATGGTTATAGCTATGAAGAATGGAAAAAGAATGAATAAATTAAAAAATCATTGCTATAACCCTGGTTTGCAACCATAGTTTAAAAATCTAGAAAAAGCCAAGAACAAAGGATCTCAAAGTTGCAATGCTCAGTCAATGCCAAAGTTGTAAAAGCTTTCTTCACTTTGAAGGACTCCTCGTCGTTGCGACAGTGATCCGTGGTTGTAGTTGTGGAGTTAAAATTTTCAGTTTTTCCTTGCTTTTAAAGATCATATAAATAGAAAACAAAGGGAGGACAAAAAACGTGAGATAGAGAGAAAAAAAAAAAATCCACGGGAAAGAAAGAAGTTTTGAAGGTTGATATCCTTTATGAACAAGGGTTTTTGCTTCTCCATTTTCTTTTTCTTTCTTCTTGTATTCTTCATCTTTGTATCATGTAGAGCCCTCATCATGAGTGACTGAATCATATATATATATATATATGTGTGTGTGTGTGTGTGCATGTTCATTTAGTTTATCATATTTGTGTTGTCATTCTAATCTTAATGTTTAAGCCAATTTAATTACTCAGTCTTTTTTTATTTATAGTTTTGAATCTTGTTCGAAAACATTTTCTAAACTTCATTTGGATCATTTCACCTAAAAATGACTTGTGTTGTGAATAGACTTGGATTTGTTAGTCATTTACATCCTTACACTTAATGCAAAAATTTAATCTGAATCATTGAGGGATCATGTTTCAAGGTTTAATCCTTAGATATTCAAGCTTGAGGAATAAGTTTGAGCAATTATATGGATGTGAGAATATGAAAACTTGAATTCACATAAAAAATTTATTGAAAAGCACAAGTGTTTTGAAAATACATCTAACCCTAATCTCTCACTTGCATAGGAATCACTTCTTGGATCTGATATTTGGTTAAATATTTCATTTACAACTTATCTTATTTACAAAGAATTGTTCAACAATCTTTATTTTCTTGAACTTCTATCAAGATAATATCTTTCTTGAATTTTCATTACTCTTTGATTATTTTAAAAAATATTTGATCTTAACTAAATAATGATTTTCAAATCTTGAAAATGTTTTTCTGTTTTCACTCTTTGATTTCTCTAATCAAATATGTCATCCTTCTTTTAAGTTTTTGAAAAGAGTTATATTTATAAAGCAAATAAGATTTTAACATTAAAAACTTGTAACAGTAGTAAGTGTTTTTTAATATTTTCTCATATTCTTTCAGCAAAAATAAAGATAAAATAACATCTATTGTCATGATGCTTAACTGACGGACACTACACGGTACTGGGGGCAGACGTTTTCTACTTCCATGATCAACTATCCCAAGTGGGTTGAATTGCAGTAGTAAGGGTCTATCCATGCGTTTCTGGTTTCGTAACAAGTTACCGGCAATTACTTTATATGCTGCTGGACTTTCCCGAGGTTATGCTTTCTGTGAGTGGCAGCTGAAGGTTAATGGTATGCAACAGTTCCCTGTAATTTCTCTAAGTGAATGTGATAGTGTTGCTGGAGCTTATTCAAATTTGACAAATAATACAATTCTGTCCAATCCACTCGAAATAGGAAATAATAAATTTGAAAGATTACATCTGAAGAATGGATGGAACAGTGCTGAGATTTTGTTTAAGAATTATGGACGACCAATAGAAGGTATGAAATGGATAGGAGTACATGTACAGAAAGAGAAAACAAGCATTGCAGATATTCAATTTACAGAGCCCGAGTTTTCCATGGTCAACGATGAATTCCTGAATCAATTTAGCACTGTCAATAGAGGCTCTTCCCTGTCTTAGATCACATTTTAAGCTGCTTCTATGCTTCCATCCATTCCTTGTAATAGAAAATGCACAAGAGCTTACTCGGTATTTCTGAGCATTATTTTGTTACCTGTGGTTAATTGGTTGGTGAGTTTACTTTATTTACACTAATCAAGTCTCACCTTTCTCTGTTTTATTTAAAAGTTTCCACTTTTGTTAGTTAAGTATATTTGGGTGTGTCGTGTGGTATGAACCCATTTAACATAGCATAAAATCCTACAATAACAACTTTATCACTACTTGAAAGTGTGGAAGTGCAAGACTTTAAATTGGAATCCAGTAAGAAGCAAATTAAATGTGTAGTGATTCACTATAAAATGTTGTTTTGCAGTTTGAAAATTGATACTGCTTTACTGCTAATGTGCCTAAACAATTTATTAATAGATGGAGTGTGCTAACATAGAAACCTTTTAAACCGAAATATCATGGCAACCATTGCAATCGCAGACAATGGTTTAAATGGTGAGGAGTTTTCATGATTAAAAAGGACAAAGATCAAGTACAAGAAATAATTCTTCAAATGTGAGAGATGCTAATTTTGGCAATCACTATCTGACAGATGAACCTCTTCCTAAATTTCTTCCATACATGCTCAATGTGACAGTTTTATTCCTTGATCAATGCAATGTTACAATCCTCCATCAAGCGTCAATACATGACACAACTTGCTTTGGATGAATGCAATGAGCTTGGAGAAATGAAAGGATTCCTGCCAAAATATTTCTGTATTAAACTGAACCTCATGGATTTCCTAGTCTTAGGTATTTCTGTTTTTATGTTTGGTCGTGGTCACAACTTTTGTGGGATGCTGGGTGCTAGCTATTCTTGTTAAATGAAAAACAATCCTTGTTTTCAAGCTGAAGATCATTTTTGTATGTCTGAAATCTGAATACATTTGAAAAGTGAATGAATGTATGACTTCCTCCACTTTCTTTGAATTCTGTTTTACACTTTCATTTTGAACGATTAGTTAGAAACTGGGAATGCCTATTTCACAGAAGCAAACTTGTTTCTCTCAAAATGCATCTTTTGCCTTTCTCTTATTTTGGAAACTCTGGCATCCCAATTCCCATACAGCTATAGACATCATTCTTGGTACATGTTTAAATTAGGCAATCCAATTATCTGTCGTATGAGCTTAATTAAACTAATTTAAATGGAAGTCTTTTTTCTAGCTTTCCAAAACAACTTTAATAAACAATTTATTTTTTGAAAAAAATGTGCCACCGAACATGTCCAAAAGTTATGTACTGAATATGCAACTGCAACATCAGATGCAAAATATAGTTTTTCTTCTTCCCCGATTTCAAATTTTGCAATATTCTCTAGGTAGCCTTGACCTCTTATATTCTGCAGGCCTCATTGAATCTGCAATTGTTAAGCATACATTACCATGACAACCTTAGAAGTTGAAATAGTCAAACAATTTTATCAAAGCACATGAAACATATTATCCCTCAAGTACAGCAAAAATCATTGGTAATCCAATGAAACCTGTAAGGAAAATCACGCATCATACAAAATCATGCATAGTAAAACTTCCATAACCCTGTTCACAAACTTGGAAGGTAAAACATATCAAAGTAATCAACTTTTATTGGTAGTTAAGTTAAATATTTTAAAATCTTTTTAATTTTAGGTTTTGTTTGTAAGTTTAGTTAAATATTGCTTATATTAAAAAAAGTAAGTTGTGCAAACAAATGATGTTTATTTATTTAGTCATAATTCATTGTTTGCTTAATTAATTTTAGTATTTAAACATTTGGTATAACATTTTCAATATGTATAAAACTGTGTTCATAATCTAAATATATCATATTAATTTTTAATCTTTGTATATATGTGAATTTGTAAATTTTATAATTTTAGTATGTTATATTTTAACTTAGTCATACATCTCTGTTTTATATTCTGATTTGAAACAACTTTGATAACATGAAGCTAAAAGTTGACACAAGGCTTGTCAATTTATACTTAATAAAAACACAAGCTATTATGTATGCTCCTTAAATATCTGTTTACTTTAGCGTCACGCAGTTCCCATTATACACACTAGTTGGGTTAAATCTAATATCATAGTTGAAGGCAAAGTAAATAGAGATTTTCATCATCTTTAACGAGACATCTGTTACACACACCACTAGGGTTGTTCATGGAAACTATAAAAGATATTTGGGATAAATAGAAATATGAAAAAATGAGTGACGAAGAACTCGATCTTCTAAGAAGCCTTTAACCCCTAAATCCAACTCAGAAAATGATTAGTTTAGTTGTAAAGGAAGATTGACCACTTAACTATTTATAACCATTCTAAGGCATATAAATACCATCGAAGTTGAAGCTTGTATGGGTAAATTTATTCATAAACTCAATCTCTCGTTTCTAATTCATGCGACCTTCGTTGTGCTACTAATTAACTAAGCACTCGGAGTGTTGGGTCATATTCTAGTCGGAGGTTTGGCTTTGTCTGTGTCAGAATTAATGTCCCGTGATTGGGCCATGTCGGATTTTGGTGGGCCATGTCTGACACCGTATCTGAGTCCGTTTTAGACAAGGGACGCTGATGCATGAATACACCTATTGCTCCTATTTACTTCTTATATTAAAATAGAAATATTATACTTCCTCCAAAATCATGTGTCGAAATTTATTCTGAATCTTTTAAAAAATTAGTTTAAATTATAAAATATTAAATTAAATAATTATTTTAAGATAAATTTATTAAAAAGTAAGAATATTTTAGAAGTTCGGACGATGTTTCGATTTGTTCGTTGGAAGATTGTTAGGATCACTCGAAGACCAGGTAACTCGAAAAGCACAAATTTCTTTATGCCTTTAATTGCACATCGTTGACTTCCAAGTCTAAGGAGATGCTACCGAATCAGGTATCTTATCTATGTTTTGAATATTTTCTCATATTCTTTCAGCAAAAATAAAGATAAAATAACATCTATTGTCATGATGCTTAACTGACAGACACTACACGAGACTGGGGGCAAACGTTTTCTACTTCCAGGATCAACTATCCCAAGTTGGTTGAATTGCAGTAGTAAGGGTCTATCCATGCGTTTCTGGTTTCGTAACAAGTT